GTAACCCTCCCCACCCCCCACCCCCCACCCCAGGAAGGGGGAGAGGGAGGCCGCCCCGCCCCGCCTCCCGGTGTTTTGGTTTCGGCGGGAACCGCCCGGGGCGGCGGGAGCGGTTCTGGTTCTGGCCGGCGCCAGCGGGTGGGTCCGGACTGGACGGAACCGGGAGCCGCTCCCAGCCAGGGCGGGGCCGCGACCTGCTCTGAGCCGTTCCAGCCCGGGCCCCGGTGGGGGAGGGGGGAGAGGGGGAGAGTGAGGAGGGAGGTGCCGCCCCGCCCGGCTCCGGTTTCTCCTCCTGGAAAGCGGCCCCGGGGGCCTGGCTCGGACCCGGCAGGTGGCTCGGACCCCGCGCGGTTTCCCACGTCCCTGCCAGGCCCCGCGGCTCCGGCATCAAACATTGATGGGGCTGCAGAGCCTCCTGGCAGACAGCGGGCCCCACTGCCCTCCCGCGGGCCCCAGATCCCCTCCGCGGGCCCCACACCCCCCCCGCCGGCCCCAGATCGCCTCCGCGGGCCCCACTCCCCCTCCGCGGGCCCCACTCCCCCCCGCGGGCCCCAGATCCCCTCCGCGGGCCCCAGATCCCCTCCGCGGGCCCCACACCTCCCCGCGGGCCCCACACCCCCCCGCGGGCCCCACACCCACCCCGCGGGCCCCCCCCGCGGGCCCCACTGCCCCCCCGCGGGCCCCACACCCCCCCCGCGGCCCCCCCCCGCGGGCCCCCCCGCCCCCCCGCGGGCCCCACACCCCCCCCGCGGGCCCCACACCCCCCCGCGGGCCCCACTGCCCCTCCGCGGGCCCCACCCCCCCCGCGGGCCCCCCCCCCCCCCGCGGGCCCCACTCCCCCCCGCGGGCCCCACTGCCTCCCCCGCGGGGCCCCACACCCCCCCCGCGGGCCCCACACCCCCCCCGCGGGCCCCACTCCCCCCCCGCGGGCCCCAACTCCCCCCCCCGCGGGGCCCCACTCCCCCCCCCGCGGGCCCCACACAACCCCCCGCGGGCCCCACTCCCCCCCCCGCGGGCCCCACTCCTCCCCCTCGGGCCCACACCCCCCCCGCGGGCCCCACTCCCACTCCCCCCCCGCGGGACCCCACTCCCCCCGCGGGCCCCCACACCCCCCCCCGCGGGGCCCCACTCCCCCCCCCCGCGGGCCCCCTCCCCGCGGGGCCCCCACCCCCCCTCCGCGGGCCCCACCCCCCCCCGCGGGCCCCACCCTCCCCCCCCGCGGGGCCCCACTCTCCCCCCCCGCGGGCCCCACTCTCCTCCCCCCCCGCGGGCCCACTCCCCCCCACGCGGCCCCCCTCCCCTCCGGGGCCCCAATCCCCCTCCGCGGGCCCCACTCCCCCCGCGGGCCCCAGATCCCCTCCGCGGGCCCAGATCCCCTCCGCGGGCCCCACACTACCCGCGGGCCCCACACCCCTCCGCGGGCCCCCACACCTCCCCGCGGGCCCCACTCCCCCCCCCCGCGGGCCCCACACCCCCCGCGGGCCCCACTCCCCCCCCGCGGGCCCCACTCCCCCCCCGCGGGCCCACACCCCCCCCCCCGCGGGCCCCACTACCCCCCCCGCGGGCCCCACTCCCCCCCCGCGGGCCCCCACTCCCCCCCCCGCGGGCCCCACTCCCCCCCCCCGCGGGGCCCCACTCCCCCTCCGCGGGCCCCACTCCCCCCCCTCAGCGGGCCCCACTGCCGCCCATCCGCGGGCCAGACACCCCAACCTCCGCGGGCTGGACACCCCAATCCCCCACCCCCTGCGGGGCCAGCCACCCCAACCTCCATGGGCCCGACACCCCAACCTCCGCTGGACGGCTCCCCCAGGTTCAGGCCGCTCGCGGGAAGGCTGGGGTGCAGGGAGGACAGGGGCGCTGCCTGCAGAGACCAGGGAAATCTTAGCAGTGACCCTAAAACTCAAGCGACTGGAGGAAAATACACAAGTTGGACGAGCTCCCTGACTCACGTGGGAACCGTGGAGAGAGGGACAGTCGGCCCCAGACAGAGAGGGAGAGCAGAGGAGGTGGGCAGGGGCAGGGCTCTGGAGTGGGCTCCGCACCCATTTCTCAGCCAGAACACCCAGGCCAGCGAAGCTCCGTCCCCTGCTCGACTGGACACTGCGGGGAGATCCAGTCCCCACCCCCTGCTTCAGGACATCCCCCCCCCCCCCATCTAAGAATAAACCCGTGGCCCCACCTCTGTCTCGCCCTCACCCATTCCACAGCCACACCGGCCTCAGGGCTTTGACCTGCCTCCTGCCTCTCTCAGGGAGCCCCCTCCTCTGTTCTTCCTGTTTTTCCTTATCACTCTTCTAAGGTTGGTTATAACTCCGTGTGATAGGTTAGCCTCTGCCTTCCCCGCCCGACCAGGACCCCTCCTGATGGGAACTGTGCAGAACAGGACTTGGTATACAGTAGGTGCTCAACACTGACTTCCTGAGTCAGTGAATGAATGCAGCTGTGAAACGCAGACGTCGACCAGCCTTGTGACTCTGGAGCTGAAGAAGGATCCACACTCAGAAGAGCCCCCAGGTTAATGAGTATACAGCAGGCGCTCAATGAGAAACACTGGACCAGGGCTCTGCTAAGCAGGGTTTGCCCAACCCACTAAGGTAGGGGCCACAACCGGTGTTCTGGACCATTTCCTGTGATACCCATGGGCAAGCAGAGGCCCAGACAGGGGGCGCCTGGTGGGTCTTCTCTTCACAGCAGAAACAGAACTCGGAGCAGCTTCAACAGAAAGGGGACCTGGTGAAAAAATCCTAGGGCGATGGGCTTCAGGCAGGGCTAGATCCAGGGCCTGGGGACCCATCTCTCTGTACCACTGACCTCCCTGCAGCGTCTCTCTGAGGTGGCTCAGCCTTCCCCATGAAAGTAGCGTGCTCCTTTCCCATGCACGTCAGCAGGAGTTGCAGGCAGTGGCTCAATCAACGTCTAATTCCTGCTCCTCGGACCCAGAGGGCCGTGCCTGGGGGTAGGTTTATGGCCAAACCGGGTCCTGTGCTTCTGGGTAGGCCCAAGGCTGAGGCTGCGGACTCGGAGGCTCCACTGTGGGGCGAGGGGATGGAGGGTCCTAGACTGGAGGGGAGTCAGGCCACTCTGGTCTTCCCGAGGCTGCTGAGCCAGCATCCTTTCCTGTCTGAGCCGGCCCTAAGGACTGAGGAGGGGGTCCCTCCCGCGGACGCGTGCCTGGTGGAGGGCCGGCTTGTGCAAAGGCTGGGAGGTGGGGAATCCAAGGGGGGAGCAGTGAGCAGCCACGTGTGACTGGAGCACAGGGGCTGAGGCCTCTGCGTCCCCCTCTAGATGCATAGATGGGAAACGGTGGTCCCTCCAATGGGCAGGACCGGAACCTCCTGCCTCCCGGTTGTACCGGCTTCCTGGTGTCCCTCACGCCCCGACCTCGTCTCCTTTGGCCATAAAATTCAGTAGTTGGGAGTTTCCATCTTTTAAACCGGAAAAGTCTTGTTTTGCAGACTCCGTGGGAGTTGGGAGGAGGAGGGGCGGACCGCATCTGAGATACACGCGCCGCTGCTGCCACCTGGTGGCCATCGAGGGAATGGCGCGGGGTGCTCTTGGAGGAAGCAGAAAAGATGAAGTGCTAGTGGAGTGAATGAATAAAGGCTTAATTATCTTAATAAAGACTTAATAAAGACTTAATAAAGACTTAATAAAGACTCAATGCCTCCCATTGAGATTTTGAGCGGGAATTCCGGCTTCAGATGAGGGGGAGGGAAGGGGGAAATCCCAAGAGCCCAAGAGAAGGCTCATTTGTTAAGGCTCAGACTCCCCCAACAGCTCCATGAGGTCTATGCTATGTCCACTCCCATCCGACAGGGGAGAAGACCGAGGTTAGAAAGGGGCCATCACCTCCCGCCGACTGTTGGAGGCCCCTTCTTTCCCCCTCACCTAGGTCCTCTGTGCAGGCGGAGCTGAGTGGCCAGACTCCCCATCCAGTGCTCCCGAGACAGCACCCCCAGCCCAGGACCCCCGATCAGCGTCTACTCCCCGGGGCCCCCTTCCGGGCTATTCCACCCCAGCAGGCCCACGGCAGTGCCTGCCCCGCCCGGTGACGCCCAGCCCAGCCTGGCGTAGCCACTTCTGTTCCGTGGCGGTGTTTAGGGTTCCCTTCACAGGACGTGTGGCAACGGGTGCTGGACAGAGTGGGGAGAGGGACGGCGGAGGCAGAGCCTGGGAGGGTCACTGGGCTGGAGGTTGACTCCCACCGTGTGTGTGGCTTCACGGAAGCCACGGCCTCTGTTGTTACGTCTGTTAAATAGTCAAATAGGACAGCGATGTGCCCCAGGCATCACGTGAGTGTCTGAAGAGAACAGGCCGGGTGTGCAATAAGCTTTCAGTCAGCAGCCCTGTCTGGTTTGGCTCAGTGGCTAGAGCACATGTGTCAAACACAAGGCCCGCGGGCCAAATCCGTCCCGCCAGGCCTTGCAATGTGGCCCACACCACGCTGTCATCACTGCACTCCGCTGCGTTTCCATCACAATGACAGTTTATGACTGTTCAGTAAACCATTCGGCCCGCGATTTAGGCTGGATTTTAGATTTTGGCCCCTTCTCTGATTGAGTTCGACACCCCTAGGCTAGAGCATCAGCCTGCAGACTCAAAGGTCCCAGATCCGTTTCCGGTCAAGGGCATGCTCCTTGGTTGCAGGCACATCCCCAGTGGGGGCGTGTGCAGGAGGCAGCTGGTCGATGTATCTCTCTCATCGATGTTTCTAGCTCTCTATCCATCTCCCTTCCTCTCTGTGAAAAATCAATAAAATATATTTTTTAAAATAAGCAGCCCTGTCTGGTTTGGCTCAGTGGATAGAGCGTCGGCCTGCGGACTGAAGGGTCCCGGGTTCGATTCCGGTCAAGGGCATGTACCTTGGTTGTGGGCACATCCCTGGTGGGGTGTGTGCAGGAGGCAGCTAATCGATGTTTCTCTGTCATCGATGTTTCTATCTCTCTATCCCTCTCCCTTCCTCTCTGTAAAAAATTAATTAAAAAATATATATATATTTTAAAAGCATTTAATCAGCAGCTGCTGTGACGTCCACCGTCAGTCTCTCTGTCCTGTCCATGAGAGGAGGTAGAATCCTCTTTTCCCCTTCAGGCCTCCAGGCCCATCTGCCGAGGGCCGGCAGACCCGGGACTGTGCGCTGGATCTCCCAGGAGCGGGGACCGTCCAGCCGCCCGGGCAGAGCTGCCCTCCTGACCGGCCTCGGGGGGTCCTGGCCCCTGCCTCCCGTCCTCCAGGGACAGCTCTGCGTCCTGGGCTGGCTCGAGGGCGCCCCACGGCAGCTCCGTCCGGTCCGGGAGAGGGCCGGGCGTGTGCAGGTCAGCCACCTCGCCTTTTCCGCAAGGCATGGTCACCACCAGGGCCTCCTTCAGGGCCTCTTCCTCCTCCTCCTGGAAGTCCGCCGGGCTGGTCCACTGCCAGGCCTGGAGAGGGAGGGCGGGGGGGAGGGGGGAGAAAAGGGGGGCAGAAGAGGGGGGGCTGTGGGCTGTTTCCCACCCCACTGGCTTCATCTCTAACACTTGAGGCCCATTGGGAGATCCACTGGAATGACCCTCACTTCTCTTTGGGAAATCACGCTGCTGTCCTCGTAGTTGATGTGATTGGGCCTGTGACTCTGGCCCAGCCAATCAGAGCACTCCAGCCTCCAGGCGAGCTGCAGGCTCGGGGATGGGTCACATGGCCCATGCTGAGCCAATCGGTGATGGCCCTGGGAGTTTTGCTCCAGCCAATGGGGGAAATGGACACTCTCTCCCCTGGGGGGAGACGTGTGCAGGGAGGACAGGACGGCAGCGACGAAGCCACAGTTCCTGGATCCTGCCATGCCAGAAGCCCCCACCCTGGGATTTTTCATTTTTTATTTTTTTATTTTTCCTTCAGGTTCCCTTTCGGTCCAAGTCACTCTGAGTTGCTTCTGCTACTAGGACATGGCGTTTTCTCTCTGGGCCTCTGCTTTCCCATCTGTGCAATAGGGCAGGCTGTGGGAGTCCCTGCCTTAGTGAGCGGGAGAAAAATAAAATGAGCCAATCCTCCCGCAGAGCCCTTGCCCAGCATCTAGACCCATGAACAGGACCTAGGATTCCAGAAGGAGCCCTTACCTGCTTCCCCTGGCTGCTGGGAAACTGCACCGCGGTGCTGGCACAGGGCGTGGGCAGGGGCGGGCACAGGTGCGGCCAAGCCCTGGAGAGACGGGGGCCAGCCGGTCAGGGGAGCAGCGGGTCTGTCTGTGCTCCCTGTTCTGGGTTCTGACTTACATTTTTGTCTTCGTTGGGTTACAAAGGCCGTGAGGCTGTGGACCGGGAGGGCAGGGCAGGGGTCTGACAGGCCCGGGGTCACACCTCGCTCTGCCCCCCTGCTGCGTGCCCTGACCCTCTAGGCCTCAGCTTTCTCGTCTGAGCACCCATCTCTGCGTGGAGTGAGGGTGTTTACTGTTCCTGTTCCTGTTCTTGTAGCTGCTGTGGGGACCGTGTCCGGGAGCGGCCGGGGTTACCTGTTCAGGCTGAAGTACCCAAGCACGCCCAGGAGGAGGATGCTGAGGAAGCTGCCCAGGGAGGCGAGGAAGATGGACAACTCTGAAGGCGGGTCATCTTGGGAGGAAGAGAGCGTGGGTTGGGGGGGGGCCCTCCTGCCTCTTGTCAGGGAGGGAGCTGGGGGGGGTCAGGCCCTCCATCACCTCCCTGCTGACCCCGGCACACCACCGGCCCCACTGTGCCTCAGTTTCCCTGTCTGTGGCATGGGAGGCCGGCAGGATAACGGCCTGGCACACAGGAAGTGCTCTGCGGCGCCCCCGGGCCCGAGACTGATGATGGGTCCTGTCCAGGTTTCCCTGCGAGGACCGCAGGCAGGGTCCGTGGCAGGAATAGGGATCATTTTTGTCTCCAAATCTCCCACGGGGACAACCCCCAAGACAACGGAGCCCAGAGCCCAAACTTTGTGATGAGAAGGACCCTCACTCATTCATATGCATTCCCGTGCTGCCCCCATACCAGCTGGAGGAGGCGGAGCCAGCCACAGACACCCCCACCCATTCCCAAGGCGTCGGGAGGGGCAGCTGCCGCTGGAGGGTGCCCAGAGGGAAGCACGGAAGGCTTCCTGGAGGAAGAAGCTTCTGCACTGGGTTTTGAAGGATGAATAGGAGTTTGGCAACAAAGAAAACAAATATTCCAGGCGTCTGAGTGGCCCTCGTGGGCAAGGCCACGGGAGTGTGAGAGAGGGTTGGAAGGGGGAAGCTGCAGGAGACGAGGTGGGTGGAGGCGGTGGGGGCAGATCAGGCCGGGACTCTCTCCTGCAGGAGGTGCATGGAGGGCAGGGCTGCTCGCGGACTCACGTGGAGTGGGGTACTGCATGCTGGGTAACACCTGGGCCCCGCCCCGCGCCCCCCCCCTCACCTGTGCGGAAGCGCTGGGGCTGGCTCCAGGCGCCCCGCAGTGTGGCAGTGTCTGCTCGCACCTGCACGCTGTGGGCAGTGCCGGCCCGCAGGCCAGCCAGCGTGGCCTGGGTCTCCGTGGCGTTCACCGGCAGCTCTGCGGGAGGAGGCGGCCGTGGGCCCAGGGACCCCGTTACCTCCAGGAGGCTGGGCTCGGGCAGCGGGGTGTCCCTGGTCCACCGGCCGGGCTGTCACACCCGGTGGGAGGGGAGCCGCTGAGAGGAGGGCGGGGCTGCCGCTCAAACACCGGGCACTGTGAGAGCCGGGCCAGTGCCTCCGGCCGCTCTGGGCAGTCACGGCCGAGTCCAGGTATCGTGCGTTATTGGGAACCAAGGCCCGAGAGGGCGGGGAGGGGCCCGGGATCACAACGCGAGGCAGGACTCAGCCCAGCCTCTTGCTCCGCATACCGGTCACCTGGGCGCTGTCCTCATCCCGACAGCGGACCACGTACTTCTGCAGGACGCCCGGGCAGGAGCTCAGCGGCGACGGCGTCCAGGCCACAGACACCCAGTCCGGGCCGACCTTCTGCACCGAAACCTGCTGCGGGCTCCCAGCCTCCGAGGCTGCAACCAGCGTCATGGCCACGGTCAGCTCCAGAGCCCGGCCAGCACCTCCACCCCCTGCACAGCCCAGGTCACCGTGGCTGCAGGCCCCGGCTCCACCATGAGGGCACGGCCACGCCCCCTCTCTGAGCTCCGTGCTCTTGTCTATAAAACTAGAGGCCCGGTGCCTGCCCCCTCTCACAGTCCGGGAGCCTTCAGGGCTGGGAGGTGACCCGGCGACAAGGGGAAGGCGATGCCCCCATCACACCTCTGCTGCTGCCACTGCCGGCAGCGCAAGCCTCTGCCGGCCCTGGTTACCTGAGCCTCAGGCCGGCCCTGGGCAGCTGGGGGGCTGAGGGGGCTGTGTGCCGCCATCTTGTGGCTATGGGTGTTGCCATCTTTGAGGGCAAGGCAATCAATTAGCATATTCCCTCCTTATTGGCTCTGGGCACCACCATTTTGTGATGGTGTGATGGTCAATTAGCATATCCCCTCTTTATTAGATAGGATGGAGCAATGCCTCCTGGTGTCTTAGGAGCTGACTGCGCTGGCTCCACATGTCCGGCTTGGGCCAGGGCCGACACGCAGGGGGTAACTCCAAATGCGTATTCCTCCTCCTGGCTCCCGCGGCCGCTGCCGGGTCTCCAGGGAGACCACTCACCATTGCCCTCGAAGTGGTAGGTGGACAGGACGGTGGACCAGGAGGTGGGTTTCCATGGCCGTGCCGAGGAGAAGATGGTGATGCGGTAGCACGCCGAGGGCGCCCTGGAGGCCCAGCTCCAGTGCGGGGCTGCTGGGAGGAGGAGCGAGGCCAGGCCAGTGGGCAGGGGGTTCCCACCTCCGCGCCTCGCACGGCTGCGCCCTCTGCCGGGGACGCTGAGAGCCGTGGTCGGCAAACTGCGGCTCGAGAGCCACATGCAGCCCTTTGGCCCCTAGAGTGTGGCTCTTCCACAAAATACCACGGCCTGGGTGAGTCTATTTTGAAGAAGTGGCGTTCGAAGAAGTTTAAGTTTAAAAAATTTGGCTCTCGGAAGAAATTTCAATCGTTGTGCTGTTGGTATTTGGCTCTGCTGACTCATGAGTTTGCCGACCACTGGCCTAGAGCTCCCCGACTCCTACTCCACAGCCTTTGCCCCAATGTCCCCTCCTCCAGTCCCTCCCTCCGCTGCCAACACCCCCACTCCCCAGCCCCTCCAGCCCAGCCAATACCCCCCCCCGGCAGAGTCTATGCCCCCCCCAGCCCCTCCAGCCCAGCCAGTACCCCCCCCCCTGCAGAGTCTATCCCCCCAGCCCCTCCAGCCCAGCCAGTACCCCCCCCCCTGCAGAGTCTATCCCCCCAGCCCCTCCAGCCCAGCCAATACCTCCTCCCCCCCGGCAGAGTCTATCCCCCCCAGCCCCTCCAGCCCAGCCAATACCTCCCGCCCCCGGCAGAGTCTATGCCCCCCCAAGACCCTCCAGCCCAGCCAATACCTCCCGCCCCCGGCAGAGTCTATGCCTCCCCCAGACCCTCCAGCCCAGCCAATACCCCCCCAGGCAGAGTTTATGCCCCCCCAGCCCCTCCAGCTCAGCCAATACCCCCCCAGGCAGAGTCTATCCCCCCCCAGCCCCTCCAGCCCAGCCAGTACCCCCCCCTGCAGAGTCTATCCCCCCAGCCCCTCCAGCCCAGCCAGTACCCTGGGCAGAGTCTATCCCCCCAGCCCCTCCAGCCCAGCCAATACCTCCCCACCCCCCGGCAGAGTCTATGCCCCCCCCCCAGCCCCTCCAGCCCAGCCAGTACCCGGGCAGAGTCTATGCCCCCCCCAGCCCCTCCAGCCCAGCCAGTACCCTGGGCAGAGTCTATGCCCCCCCCAGCCCCTCCAGCCCAGCCAGTACCCCGGGCAGAGTCTATGCCCCCCCCAGCCCCTCCAGCCCAGCCAGTACCCTGGGCAGAGTCTATGCCCCCCCCAGCCCCTCCAGCCCAGCCAGTACCCGGGCAGAGTCTATGCCCCCTCCAGCCCCTCCAGCCCAGTACCCCGGGCAGAGTCTATGCCCCCCCCAGCCCCTCCAGCCCAGCCAGTACCCTGGGCAGAGTCTATGGCCCCCCCAGCCCCTCCCGCCCAGCCAGTACCCTGGGCAGAGTCTATGCCCCCCCCCAGCCCCCCCAGCCAGTACCCGGGCAGAGTCTATGCCCCCCCCCAGCCCCTCCAGCCAGTACCCGGGCACAGTCTATGCCCCCCCAGCCCCTCCAGCCCAGTACCCCGGGCAGAGTCTATGCCCCCCCAGCCCCTCCAGCCCAGTACCCGGGCAGAGTCTATGCCCCCCCCAGCCCCCCCAGCCCAGTACCCCGGGCAGAGTCTATGCCCCCCCAGCCCCTCCAGCCCAGTACCCGGGCAGAGTCTATGCCCCCCCCAGCCCCTCCAGCCCAGTACCCGGGCAGAGTCTATGCCCCCCCTAGCCCCTCCAGCCAGTACCCGGGCACAGTCTATGCCCCCCCCAGCCCCTCCAGCCCAGTACCCCGGGCAGAGTCTATCCCCCCAGCCCCTCCAGCCCAGCACCCGGGCAGAGTCTATGCCCCCCCCAGCCCCTCCAGCCCAGTACCCCGGGCAGAGTCTATGCCCCCCCCAGCCCCTCCAGCCCAGCCAGTACCCTGGGCAGAGTCTATGCCCCCCCCAGCCCCTCCAGCCCAGCCAGTACCCGGGCAGAGTCTATGCCCCCTCCAGCCCCTCCCGCCCAGTACCCCGGGCAGAGTCTATGCCCCCCCCAGCCCCTCCAGCCCAGCCAGTACCCTGGGCAGAGTCTATGGCCCCCCCAGCCCCTCCAGCCCAGCCAGTACCCTGGGCAGAGTCTATGCCCCCCCCCAGCCCCTCCAGCCAGTACCCGGGCAGAGTCTATGCCCCCCCCAGCCCCTCCAGCCAGTACCCGGGCACAGTCTATGCCCCCCCAGCCCCTCCAGCCCAGTACCCCGGGCAGAGTCTATGCCCCCCCAGCCCCTCCAGCCCAGTACCCGGGCAGAGTCTATGCCCCCCCCAGCCCCTCCAGCCCAGTACCCGGGCAGAGTCTATGCCCCCCCTAGCCCCTCCAGCCAGTACCCGGGCTCAGTCTATGCCCCCCCCAGCCCCTCCAGCCCAGTACCCCGGGCAGAGTCTATCCCCCCAGCCCCTCCAGCCCAGCACCTGGGCAGAGTCTATGCCCCCCCCAGCCCCTCCAGCCCAGTACCCCGGGCAGAGTCTATCCCCCCAGCCCCTCCAGCCCAGCACCCGGGCAGAGTCTATGCCCCCCCCAGCCCCTCCAGCCCAGTACCCCGGGCAGAGTCTATCCCCCCCGCCCCTCCAGCCCAGCACCCGGGCAGAGTCTATGCCCCCCCCAGCCCCCCCAGCCCAGTACCCCGGGCAGAGTCTATCCCCCCAGCCCCTCCAGCCCAGCACCCGGGCAGAGTCTATGCCCCCCCTAGCCCCTCCAGCCCAGTACCCGGGCAGAGTCTATGCCCCCAGCCCCTCCAGCCCAGCACCCGGGCAGAGTCTATCCCCCCAGCCCCTCCAGCCCAGCACCCGGGCAGAGTCTATGCCCCCCCCAGCCCCTCCAGCCCAGTACCCCGGGCAGAGTCTATCCCCCCAGCCCCTCCAGCCCAGCACCCGGGCAGAGTCTATGCCCCCCCCAGCCCCTCCAACCCAGTACCCGGGCAGAGTCTATCCCCCCCGCCCCTCCAGCCCAGTACCCGGGCAGAGTCTATGCCCCCCCCCAGCCCCTCCAGCCCAGTACCCCGGGCAGAGTCTATGCCCCCCCCCCAGCCCCTCCAGCCCAGTACCCGGGCAGAGTCTATGCCCCCAGCCCCTCCAGCCCAGTACCCGGGCAGAGTCTATGCCCCCCCCCAGCCCCTCCAGCCCAGTACCCGGGCAGAGTCTATGCCCCCCCCAGCCCCTCCAGCCCAGTACCCGGGCAGAGTCTATGCCCCCCCCAGCCCCTCCAGCCAGTACCCGGGCAGAGTCTATGCCCGCTCCAGCCCCTCCAGCCAGTACCCGGGCACAGTCTATGCCTGCTCCTCTCAGAGGCTGGGAGCTCTCTGAGGGACAGGCTGAGGCTAAAGCTTCCTGAGGCCCCAGCCAGGCCAGGCAGGAAGTGGGGGCGCGAAAGGCTGCCTAGGCCACGGGGCACCCCCTCTTTCCCTCCAGAGGCCTCGTTACTGTGTCACAGCATCCTGCCGCTGCCACCTCCTCTGATGAGGGTGAATGTTTAAGAAACACCCTGAACGTGAGACTCATTAGCCGCCGGTGCCACCTGCCGGGCGGAGCCTGTCACCACCCCGGTCCCCAGCGGGAGGCTCCAGCCTGTGTGAGGGGGAGGGGGGACCCCCCGAGGCGCGGCCTTTCCCCTCCGCTGTGTCCTTCAAGCCCATGGCCAGGCTGTCAGGCCTCGGACACCGGCCACGTGCAGCCCCGCAGGACTGAGCTGCCCGGCGCTCCCATGGAGGAGCAGGCAGAGGGCAGCCGCCAGCCTGGCACCTGTTCCAGAGGAGTCCGGGTCGCTGGGCTCGGTCAGGGTGCAGTTGGCAGGGCTCTCGTCCTGGCCCAGGGGCTGCCACTCAATGCAGTAGGTGAGGCCGGGGGTCCCGGCCGGCCAGCTCATGGTGGTCCCGTTGGCTCTGGCGCTGATGTTCAGGGCTCCGGGCTCTGCAAGGAGGTGGGGGGGGGGGCACCTCAGAACAGCCGCCCCGGTCTGCCCGCCACCGAAGCCCCTGGAGCCCCGCCGCCTCTTGCCCAGCTCTGCCCCGGGGCCCACACTGGGGGCTGCGGGGGGAGGGGGGAGGCTGGGCACAGAGGGGCCAGAGGGGCTGTTTGGGTAAGCTGACACCCCCATCAGTGCCATTGGACTGACGGACTCCCTGCACCAGCCCGGTGGGCGTCTCCTGCTCCAGCAGATGCCTGGCCAGCCCCCACCCACCTCACCCAGTTGTGGGGGCGGGGGGGAGCTGAGCAGATCTCAGAGGCCAAGGACACGCCCGCTCAGTCGCTCAGTCGCCTGGGCCCATCGCTCCCATCCCCCAGAGCGCGGGCACCGCAGCAGCCTCAGAGAGGCGGGCGCTGCTTCCGAGCACCAGCTGTGCCCCAGGCCAGTGCCACGGACTTTACAGGCACCACTCTGCTCCAGGAAATGGGACCACGATTACCCCAATGATAGAGAAACTGAGGCTCAGAGAGGGAGAGCCACCAGCCCGAGCTCACACAGCAAGGCCACGGCCCAAACCAGGCTGTGCCACCCTGGCAGGTGACTTCACCTGCCGGAGCCTCGGTTGTCTCAGCTCTGAAACGGGCATCATTGTAGCAGCCCTGGCTCACAGGGTTGTTGGCTGCTCGACAGGCCACGGCCACGGCCACGGCCACGGCCACGGCCACGGCCACGGCCACGGCCAGGGCAGGCGGAGCCGAGCGAGGCGCTCGCCTCAGGCATGACATTTAGGGAGGAAAGGAGGAGAACTCGGTCATCGAGATAAACGCTGTCTTCACACAATCTTTTTTTAAAAATCAAAATGAATGCAAAAGTGTGTGATGAGCACCAGTCACAGCCACAAACGGTGGAAGCAGCCCAATGCGGGTCAGTGGGAAAGCAGTCAAACGGCATGTGGTCCTCCCACCGCGGAGCACTGCTCAGCCGTCCTTCAAAAAGGACTGAGGCACCGACAGGCGGCGGGGGAGCGTGCTGAGCGTGAGGAGGCAGCACAAAGGCCACCTGGTATGCGATTCCGTCCACAGGGAATGTCCAAACAGGCAGACCCCGGCCACAGAAAGTACATGAGTGGCTGCCAGGGGCTGGGGGAGGGGGACAGGGAGCCACTGCCAGGGGATGTAGTTTCTTTATTTTTTGGGGGGAGGGGAGTGGAAATGTCCTGGAATTAGAGGTGGTGGTTGCACAACATTGTGAATGCAATAAGTGCCACTGGACGGCACATGTTAAAACGGTTAATTCTGCTATATGAATTTCACCTCAAATTTTATATATATTCTATATAATAAAATCCTAATATGCAAATAGACTGAGCAGTGGAATGACTGCAGAATGACTGGTGCTATGATGCGCACTGACCACCAGGGAGCAGACGCTCAACACAGGAGCTGCCCCCAGCCTGCAGGCCAAGACGGGTGGTTGTGGCAGGGAGCAGGGCCTATGAGCATGCAGCGCCAGGCCAACCAAGGTGGGTGCCAGTGTGGGCCCCCCAATTGCCTGGCAGGTGGCCCCACAGATCAGCCCTGATTCCAGCCATGCCTAGGAACCCTACCTCCACACAAATTTTGTGTGCTGGGCTTCTAGTGTATACACACACACACACACACACACACACACACACACACACAAACACACACACACTCTAGAGGCCCAGTGCACAAAATTTGTGCACAGGGGTGGTCAGTGTGTGTCATAGCTACCAGTCGAACAGTCATTTAGTTTTTTATACATATGTATATATGTATAATGTATATAAAACAAAATATCAAGATTTTAAATGAAGATAGAATCAACCTTGTACTCGCATGACCCTGATTCATTCACCACATCCTGACCCCAGCTCTTGTCCCCATAAAACTTGATTTAAAAAACAGTTAGCCTGGGCTGTCGTTTGCCAATGAGAATTTTTTTTTAAATATTGCATTACAACATTATGGGTTTCCTCTCATTTGAGTCTTCTTTTCCTGAGAAATTTTTCCTGAGAAAGAAGACTCAAATGAGAGAAACCCTGGAAGCAAAGGAGTCTCCGTATCTTGATTCCTGGCTTTTGACACACCCCTGAGTTAGACGCCCCCTTAGACGCTGTGCCTCCTCCCCTCCCCCTCGTCCCGCTAGGCTCAGAGCAGGTGCTCCCTCCCAGGGCCCTCCCTGCCCTCCCTGCCGGAGGAGTCACCTGCGTGCGTGTCGGCCGGAATGTGCCAGGACTGGCTGGGGCCGGAGCCAAAGCGACTCCTGGGGACGAGGGTCAGGTTGTAGGCGGCCCCCGAGAGGCTCAGTGTTCTCTGCAGGTGCAGGGTCAGGTTCCTCACAGCCTGGGTCTTGCACGGACAGGACAGCATGTGCAGCTGCAGCTCGTAGGTCACCTGGGCGCCGGACGCGGGCCCCCGGCAGCCCTCAGGGAGCCGGAGCCGGGGCAGCTGTAGGGAGCGGGAGAGACGGCCTGTGGGATCTGCACACGTTCATCGTCCTCGTGGGCCGACATCAGGGCAGCGCACAGACAACCAGAACACAGACTCGCCCACAGGCCACAGCCCGTGACACAGGCCAACAGGTCACAAATAACAACCCCAGGCCAGCGAGGCATTCTCACCCAGTGCGCGCTGGCTTGGTTTGTTTTGTGTGTGTGTGTGTGTGTGTGTGTGTGTGTGTGTGTGTGTGTGTTTGGGGTGGGGAGGGGTAACGTGGAAAAACCCACTGAGAGCCAGGGGAAGAGAATTTCCGTTTTTGGACCCCGTGACCTCAACCCTGGAAATTTTTCCCGAGAAAGAAGATTCAAATGAGAGGAAACCCTGGAAGGAAGGAGTCTCCGTGGGGACTCATTGTGACGGCCCCCGGGCACCCGGCTGAGCCAGTGATGGTGACATTGGTCACGCTTTTCCCGACTCAGGCTGTTAGAGCTGAATTCTTTGTCCTCGCCCGATGGTTTTAGAGAGAGGGGCAGGGGGAGAGAAACATCCCCGTGTGAGGCAGAAACATCCACCTATGGCCTCCATGTGCGCCCCAACTGAGGACTGAACACTACACCTAGGTGTGTGCCCTGACGGGGAATCGAACCCACAACCTTTCGGTGTATGGGACGGCACTCCAACCGGGCCACACCGGCCGGGGCAGGTGAGACATTTCCCCTCCGTGCCTTAGTTTCCTCCTCTGTGAAATGGGGTTAGACTGTCCGTAATAAACGGGCTGTTTGGGGGGATTTCTAAAAAACCATCTCCCACGCAGACCAACGTAATTGATGGCCTTCCAGGGCCCACTGGGAGCCCCCACCATCTGTTCCCCTGGTGGCCGCCAGAGGGAGCTGTGAGCACCAGAGCCCAGCCACATCCTCCTCCGCTCACACACCCTCCCTCCGAGGCTCCCCAGTACCTTCCAGTTACCCCACCTTTCCCCAGTCCCTGCCACCTCCACGTCTAGTCTCCCTCCACCTCCCAACTGTGAACCACCCTCACCCCCAATCACCCATTGCCCCCCACCCCCGTCTGCCCCCCAGTCTCCCCTCTCCCTCCCCCAGGCCCTGCACACAGCCCTGCGGGAGCCTCCTTACCTGCCTCTGCAGGGCCACCTGCCTCCTCCCGTTCCGGCCCAGCGGCTTCACCAGGAGCAGCACCTCGGGCTGCGGAGGCGGTTCTGGCAGAGACAGAGACGGGGACCTGGAGGCTGGGCTGTCCTTCCTCAGCCTCCTGCAGGCCCAGGAGGGAGCCTGAGGCGTCTCCTTCCCCTTCCCTCCCAGGAACACGGAGGGGGATTGACGTCCCACAGCGTGAATGTACGCAATGCGATGAGCAGAATGTGTGAAACGGTGCGTCTTATGGTGTGTGCTCTTCACCACATTTAAATAAAACACCAGAAAGCTATTCTTAAGAGTTCTTTCCCAGCAGATGTGCCATTGGGAAGGAGGGAACCCTCAGGCAGGGCTGAGGACAGATGCTGACGGTCACCCCATCCCACCTCCCTCCCCACCCCTGCGGGGGGTTTGGGCAGGGGTTGGGCAGGGATGGGGGTGGGGGGGGAGGGAAACATCTCTCCTGAGCTGCCCAGGCTCCAGATGCCTGTGTCCAAATGCCTGTGTCATTTGGGAACATATCCTCCCGACACAGCCCCTGCACCTGTCTGTTCCTCGTGGGACTTTAAAAGACACAAACCGCCCTAGCCAGTCTGGCTCAGTGGATAGAGCATCGGCCTTCGGACTGAAGGGTCCCGGGTTCGATTCCGGTCAAGCGCACCTGCCTGGGTTGTGAGCTCCATGTCCAGCATGGGGCATGCAGGAGACAGCCAATCAGTGATTCTCTCTCATCATTGATGTTTCTCTCTCTCTCCCTTCCTCTCTGAAGTCAATAAAAATATATATTTAAAAATAAATGAATGACAAAAACCAGCCAAACTGGAAGGAGAAGACTGACAGATGTTTTCTTTTCAGATTGTGGATTCACCACAACTTACAAAGGGAAACCCCGCTCCCTGCCCCCCACCCCCTTAATGAAGTTCACCGATTTCTCCCCCTGCCTCATTCAAACACCTGTCATCTGTTTCCCACACTCGCTGCCTCAGTTCTAGCGCCCGCTGCGTATGTCTCACGCCTGCCCCTCTTCCTGCGGCTCCGCACGCTCACCAGGGGGCACGCACACGGGGCTGCTCCAGTTGCTCCAGGGACCGGGCAGGGCGCCCGGCCCCAGCTGCCGGCGCCTCAGCTGGACTTCCTGGGCTTCGTCTGTCTCCAGCGGGCAGAGGCACCGCTCTGGGGGAAAGAGGTCAAGCATCAGACCCAGGGGCTGTCCCCCGTGGGGGGTGCAGTGGGCATGGCACGGGCCGCTTAGCCATTGTGTGCACTTATGGAGTGCCAACTGTATACATGCACTTATTGGGTGCCGATTGTATACACGCACTTTCTAAGAGCCAACTGTGTGCCAGGCCGTGAGGATATGGTAGGAACGGGCCATGACCTGTCCTCTTAGGGTAGGGGTGTCGAACTCAATCAGAGAAGGGGCCAAAATCTAAAATCCAGCCTAAATCGCGGGCTGAATGGTTTACTGAACAGTCATAAACTGTCATTGTGATGGAAACGCAGCGGAGTGCAGTGATGACAGCGCGGTGCGGGCCACATTGCAAGGCCTGGCGGGACGGATTTGGCCCGCGGGCCTTGTGTTTGACACATGTGTCTTAGGGCCTCAAGGATCATCTACTTCTTTCTCTGTCCCTGGTTCGAGTCCCAGCAAGGCCACCCCTTGTGATGTGACATTGGCCTATGGCTTCTCACACCCACCCATCCCCAGCCTTTGTTTTCTCACCTGTAAAATGGGACTAACTCAATACAGAACCACAGGGCAGACCCATGGGTATACAATGCACTTAGCCCTTGGCCGGCGCACAGTAGGCGCTTGGTTAATGATACTCTGCTGCAGCTGCTGCTGTTACTGTTCTTATGCTCACCGAGGCCAGCATCATCCTGAGGTCCGCAGTCACCCTAGGGCAAGACCAAATTTACATATCGTTTCACATTTTGGTGCTGAAAAATACTGGCTCTAACATTATTAGCAAAAATATTGTGCATTTGTTATTAACATGTTACTTAAAAATATGACTTTGCTAAGTGCAGGAGGAAGCCCTGGGGCGGGTCCAGAGCAGAGGTGTTCCCGGGGGAGGGAGCGGCATCCAGTCGTCTCGGGGGTCTGGCTCACAGCCCCGGGCCGGAGCATTGGGTCAGGGAGTGAGGAGGGAAGCTGCCAGAGGTTCTATGGGAGCTCCTGGTGTTTATTTTTAACTTTTCTGAAAATCTAAGATGAACCCAATTTTAAACATTCATAAAAGAATTGTTTTAGGAGACAAAATGTATTTTATAATTTCCTAAAAAATATATTTTAGGAGGCAAATCCCATCTGTCTGTAGTGTTGGGGATCAGATAAGCCCTGTCCCACATGCCCAGGGCACCCTGGGAGGTTCCCGCACCCCGAGCCTCAGTTTCCTCACCTACAAAGGGGTGTGCTTAGGGGGCTGGAGATAAAGCACAGAGAGAGAGAGATCCCTCCCCATCAAGGATCCATGTCACTTGCTGCGGCTGATTCAAACCTAGGCATCTGATGGGGAAACTGAGGCTCAGGAGGGACACAGCATTTGGAGGGAAGATGGAGCTGAAGCCGAGGCAACTTCCTGGGGCCCTCAGGATGCTCCCAGTCTGAGGGAGGAGGAGACTGGCCACCATTCAGAGGCTGGGGGCCTCTGTCTCCCTCACACTTGGAGCTCCCGGGGGACTGGGTCTGGGCTGAGGGTCCTTGCAGGTGCAGGCTTGTCTGGCTGGGGCAAGGGGACTACAGAGCACAAAACAGACAGAAGCTGAAGAATGAATGGAGGTGCAGAGCAGACACACAGATGGCCAGCCGGTGCGTGAACATATGCTCAACATCACTAACCACCAGGGAAACGCCAATCAAAGCCACATCGCTTATCACACCTGTTGAAATGGTTAAGCGACGACGAGAGATAATAAATGCTGGCGAGAATGTGGAGATCGGGACCCAGTGCACTGCTGATGGGCTTGTCCACAATGGAAATCAGTGTGGACGTTCATCAAAGAATTAAAAACGGAACTACCATACAGGCCAGCAATTTCACTCCTGGGCATTTATCCGACAGAAACAAAACACTAACTCGAAAAGACACGCACCTCTGTGTTCACTGCAGCATCATTTACAATAACCAAGACATGGAAACAATGAGACCCTGTCCATCGATGAATGAATAAAGAAACAGTGGCCGAAACCGGTTTGGCTCAGTGGATAGAGCGTCGGTCTGCGGACTGAAGGGTACCGGGTTCGATTCCAGTCAAGAGCATGTACCTTGGTTGTGGGCACATCCCTGGTGGGGGGTGTGCAGGAGGCAGCTGATCGATGTTTCTCTCTCATGTTTCTCTCTCATAGATATTTCTAGATCTCCCTCTCTGTAAAAAAAAAAAATCAATAAAATATATTAAAAAGAAAAAGCAGTATATACTGAGTGGCTAGATTATTATGATCTCTGAATGCATAATAATCTGGCCACTCAGTATATATATATTAGAGGCCTGGTGCATGAATTCATGCATGGGTGAGGTCCAGCCAGCCTGGCCAGGGGGAGGGGACATGGACAGTTGGCCGGCCTGCCTGCTGGTCGAACTCCTGATGGAGGAGGCACTTTCATATTAGCCTTTTATTATTATATATAGGATATACACTGAGTGGCCAGATTACTATGTGTTCAGAGATCATAATAATCTGGCCACTCCATGTATAACCTACAATGAAATATTAGTCAGCCATAAAAAAATAAGGAAATCTTGCCATTTGACAAAACTTGAGGGCATTGTACTAAATGAGATAAATTAGACAGAGAAAGTCAAAACCACATGGTCTCACTTATATGTGGATCCCGAAAAACACAAAATAGAAAACCAAATTCACGGATACAGAGAACAGGTAAGTGGTTGCCAGAGTAAGTGGGGGCGGGCGGGGGGGGGGGGGGGTAGGAACAGTGGTGGAAGATGGTCAAAGCTACAGACTTCCGGTGACAGAGGAGTCGTCATGGCGATGTGATGGGCAGCATGGGGACATAGCTGATAGTAATACCGTATCGCGTGTTTGGAAGCTGCTAGGAGTGTAGACCTTACAAGTTCTCATCACAAGGAAGAGAAAATCTGTAACTAATGTATCGTGTCAGAAGTTAACTAGATTTATTGTGGTGGTCCTTTTGCAATGTGTACAAATATCGAATCATTATATTATACACCTGAAACTATTAATTACAATATAATGTTATTTGTCAATTCTCTCTCTCTCTCAATTCCTATTGATGAGAGAGAGAGAGGAAGGAAGAAGGAGAGAGAAATACCACACATACTCCCTGAATGGGGATCCAACCTGCAGCCTGGTATGTGCCTTGACTGAGACTCGAACCCACAACCCTTCAATGCACGGGATAGCATTCTAACAACTGAGCCACACCAGGCAGAGCACATCTCAATTTTTAAAAAAGGAGGGAGGGCGGGAGGGAGAGAGAGAGAGAGAGAGAAGAAGAAGGGATGTGTGGAAGGGCAGTTCCTGGGAGAGGGGGCCCAGCAAGTGGAGGAAACTCCCGGTGCAGAGGCCGGAGGCTGGGAGTCCAGGCCTCTCAGGAGGGGCCGGAGGGAGCGGGAGGCAGTGAGGGCCCCTAGGGCTGGCCGGGGACAAGGATGCCCCCCCCAGTCTCCCCCGGAGGCAGTAGGGAGCCCGGAGGGGTGCGAGCAGGAGGTCGCAGTCAGAGCTGCTCTCAGAAAACCCTCAGAGGCTGCACACGGGGCGGGTGGAGGGGGCGGGAGGGCACCGGAGGTGGAGCTGATGGCGCGGACTAAGGGGGAATGTGCCAGGCAGAGGCCTGTGCCCGCCCGCCCGGGGAGCACTCACCAGCTTCCACGGGCCGTCCGGCGTCCGGCGCCGGGCCTGCACCTCGGCGCCGTCCTGGCGGGCCGGGGGCTCCCACTCCAGGCGCAGCTGCCCGGCTGCGAGGGACACTCTGAGGTCCTCGGGCGGCGGGTCGTATTTCACTGGAGGCCGAGGCGGGGGTGGGGAGGGGAAGCGACGTTTTGTGAGCTGCTGGTCCCCGACGTTCCAGAAAACCTGCGCGCACCGCCCCAGCCCGGCCAACAGAGCCCCCAACACAAACCGGGGACCCCCCCGCCGCCTAAGCCTAGAATTCTATGAGTCAGGGAGTCAAAGTGTATACACAGCATCCTGGCAGTGAAGAAACCTTTAAAATATTAACACCCGCGGCCGACGAGGCTGTGGTGAGACAGCCAACTGCTCACACGAGGGTAATTAATTCTGTTTTCTGGAGGGAAACCTTACTAACTTTTTTAGGCCCACTTCGAGGAGCTGGCCTAAGGAGAGACATCCAGCATCATGCCGTACCCGGTTCTACCCCAGGACCTTTGCACGTGCTGTGGCACACGACTCCACACTTCTAACCTTCCTTCCTGCTGGGTTCCTTTATCCTCCAGGACTCAGCCTGAGCTGGAGGCAACACCCCGACCTCCCAGCAGTTTCTCATCCTGTGTGCTAATCACACCCCATCCAGCATCCATCTGGGAAGGCAGAGGCAGGGCCAGGGTTAGGGTGAGGCAAGCGGGGCAAGGTGGTACAGACACAGGGTTGGATCCTGTCTTTATCGAAAATGTTGATATTTTGTTCATCATGGAATTTCATATTAATTTTGGTTTTTTAAAAGGCTGCGTTACCGCTGAGGGCTTTTGGCAGCCCCTGAGAATGTTGTACCCAAGGCGGTGCCCTTGCTGGCCTCGTTCTAGCCCCAGGCCCGGGCGGCGACCCCCTCTGGCCTTGCCCATGGCCCCTGAGGCTCAGGGTGGCACACAGGAGCAGCATCACAGCTGCATGCTGAACGCATGCTGTTGCCCGCTGGTGTGGCTCAGAGGTGAGCGTTGACCCATGAGCCAGGAGGTCACCGTTCGATTCCCGGTCAGGGAACATGCCCGGGTTGCAGGTTCAATCCCCAGTAGGGGGCGTGCCAGAGGCAGCCGATCAATGATTCTCTCTCGTTATTGATGTCTCTCTTTTTTTATTCTCAACATTGATGTTTCTCTCTCTCTCTCCCTTCCTCTCTGAGATCAATAAAAATATATTTTTAAAGATAAATAAACACATGTTATTGACTCATGAAAAACAAAACAAAACAAAATAAAACAAAAAAACAACAGTTTGCCGAAACTGGTTTGGCTCAGTGGATAGAGCGTCGGTCTGCGGACTGAAAGGTCCCAGGTTTGATTCCGATCAAGGGCATGTACATTGGTTGTGGGCACATCCCCAATAGGGGGTGTGCAAGAGGCAGCTGATCGATGATTCTCTTTCATCGATGTTTCTAACTCTCTATCCCTCTCTCTTCCTATCTATAAAAAATCAATAAAATATATTTTTAAAATAAATAAATAAAATTAAAAAAACAACAGTTAAAAAAACCAACAAGGTCTGGCACCATTACAGAGTCAGGGAGAAACCAAAAGCAACCTGAGTATCCAGCAGTAGGGTCAGGGTCAGGGTTAGAGTTAGGGTCAGGGTCAGGGTTAGGGTTAAAGTTAGAGTCAGGGTCAGGGTCAGGGTCAGGGTCAGGGTTAGGGTCAGGGTCAGGGTCAGAGTCAGGGTCAGGGTCAGGGTCAGGGTCAGGGTCAGGGTCAGGGTCAGGGTCAGGGTCAGGGTTAGTTAGGGTCAGGGTCAGGGTCAGGGTTAGTTAGGGTCAGGGTCAGGGTCAGAGTTAGGGTCAGAGTCATCAGGGTCAGGGTTAGTTAGGGTCAGGGTCAGGGTCAGGGTCAGGGAGCCATGAAAGACTCTGCCAAGTCGAGCGACAGTGTTTGATGTGTAAGTGGCTGGAATTTTCGAGCCCTTTGCCAGGGCCCCAGAGTCCCCCCAGGTCCAGGCTTGGGGACCAGAGGCGTCTCTGTGTGCGGGAAGGGCTCTGGGAAGAGGAGAGGAGAGCGGGTGCTGACCGGAGGAGCGGTATAGGATCAAGGTGACCTTGGGCGACGTCTCGGTTCGGTTGGCGGCCCTGGATTCCACCCAGAGAGTGACGTTGTCGAGCACAGGCACGCCGTCCTGGTCGGAGAACTCCAGCCTGGTGGCCGCGCCCGCCGAGAAGTAGCAGCAGTGCCCGGGCCTGAGGCTGGGGGAGGAGGGCGTTGGTGCTGAGGCGGGGGTCCCAGTGGATCCCAGAAACGTCTCCGCCCAGCAGGCAGCAGACATCACATCCCCACACCCTCCTCTGCCCCCGGACCCCCCTCCCAAGCCTGGGGCTCCTTGGAGATCGGCCTGAGATCAGGGGGGCTTGTGGGACCCCAGGTCTCCCAAAAGGAGCTTTCAGAAAGAGAAGGAAAAATGAGCCGAAACCGGTTTGGCTCAGTGGTAGAGCGTCGGTCTGCGGACTGAAAGGTCCCAGGTTCGATTCCGGTCAGGGGCATGTACCTTGGTTGTGGGCACATCCCCAGTAGGGGGTGTGCAAGAGGCAGCTGGTTGATGTTTCTATCTCATCGACATTTCTAGCTCTCTATCTTTCTCTCTGTGAAAAATCAATAAAATATATATATTTTTTAAAGTTTCTAAAAAAAAAAAAAGAGAAGGAAAAATGAATGATGGGAGAGTGGATGGACGAACAAACAAATGAGTGAGAGGGTGAGGACGAAAGAAGAACTAGAGGGGCCCTGATTGCTGCCCAGTTTGGATGCCCACCCACGCTCACCCCTCACAGCTCAAAGCTCCTCGCCCTCCCCGCTCAGAGGAGAAACTGAGGCCCAGGAAGCGGCGAGGACCGGCCCTGGGCCGCGATCACGCATCTGAGGGCGGGAGCAGCGGGGCAGGAGCCCGGGAGGAGGTGGTGAGGGCTCGGGGCCCGGGGACGGGTCCTCACCAGAACCTCAGGAAGTGGCTGACTCCAGCCGCGGGACCCTCATACTCCCAGGAGCATTCGTAACAGCCATCCAGTGTCCGGTAGCAGCTCAGGCCCCTGGCACCTGCGGCCAAGCCCGGAGGAGGCCCTGGAGGTTCGAGAACAGAGTAGGGGAGACGTCTCTGTGCCACTCAGCCTCAAGAGGAGTCTCTGTGACATTTATGAAATCCGGCATCTCCAGTCTGAACAGCCAGCTCCCTGCACCCTCCTGCGCTTTCCCTTCCGCCTCCTGCCATCTCCGCTGCTCCCCTGCCCCAGCCACACCAGCCTGCCTCCTCCTGGGCCCTCAGATGCCGCAGGCTCACTCCCACCTCAGGGCCTTTGCACGAGCTGCGCCCTTCCCCCAGATCTCGGCATTCCAGCTTTTCCTTCAGGGTCACCTCCCCCACAACCAGCCAACCGGAAGCAGCCCGTCCCCCTCCATCCCGCAGCCCGCTCTGGGCAGGTCACTGTGGGCAGTATGTGCATTGATTGACCTGCTGTCTACCTCCTGCGGAAGGCTGTGACCCTCGGAGGGCAACTGGGCCAGCAGCTGATTCCTTCCTGTCTAGGACTGTGTGTGCACACAGTCTGTGCTCTGTAAACATTTCTTGAACAGAAGACTGGATGGCACACCTGCTCAGGGGAGGACCCCCCCCCCTGGGGTGCGTTGTAAGCCTAAATAACCCAGCAGTGCCTGCCGGGGAGGGGATTAAAAATTCAAAACATTTAGCAGATACTCTGCCCCACCGCGGATCCGTCTGGAGCCTGCGGCCCTGCCAGGAAGGAGCGGGGCTCAGAGCGGTGATGGCTCCGGGACACGGAGCTTGGTGAGGACAGGCTGGCAGGCTGGCAGGCAGGAGTTCCCAGGACCCCCGTGGGCCTGGGTCTCGGCTGGCAGGGGAGCGGAGGGAAGGGCTGCCAGGGGTCCGCATGCCGCAATGGAGACTGCCCCAACCTGAGTCTGCGTTCTGGTAGGGCGGGTCCTGGAAGCTGCACCTGCTGGCACCACAGGCTTCGGCTGTAAAGACAATGAGGAGATAATGACAGGCCCGGCTTTCACTGCTTGGGGAGAGGGGCCCAGCCCGGGCGTGGCCAAGTGGCCATCCACTCCCTTACCGCTTTTTCATCTATGCACCCACCCCCTCATCCACCTATTCATCTATTCCTCTGTTCACCCATCCACCCATCCATCTATTCCTCTATCCACCCATCCACCCATTCATCTACCCAACTCTTCATTCATCCATCCATTCATTTATCCATCCATCCACCCATCCATCCACCCACCCAACTCTCCATCCATCCATCCATCCACTCATCCACCCATTCATCTATTCCTCTGTTCACCCATCCACCCATCCATCTACCCAACTCTCTATTCATCAATCCATTCATTTATCCATCTATCCACCCATCCACCCATCCATCTATCCACCCACCCACCCAACTCTCCATACATCCATACATCCATACATCCATCCATTTATCCATCCATCTCCCTACCCAACCATCCACCCATCCATCTATTCCTCTATCCTCCCATCCATCCATCCATGCATACATACATCCACCCATGTCTCCAACCATCCATCTATCCATCCATCCATCCACCCACCCACCCATCTCCCTACCCACTCATCCACCCATCCATCTCTCAGGCTGCTCCTCAAAAGCAATCCAGGGTCTCCTAGTCTCCAGCCCTGCTGACACCCAGAGCCCTGAAACCTTGCTAATCCCCAGTCTACAGAGAGGAAAAGTAAGGCACAGAGAGGCAAAATGTTGCCCGAGGTCACACAGCAGCAATAGCAGAGCTGGAATAACGGCTGGCGTGACTCAGTGGTTGAGCACTGACCTGTGAACCAGGAGATCACAGTTCGATTCCTGGTCAGGGCACCTGCCTGGGTCGTGGGCTCGATCCCCAGTGTGGGGCGTGCAGAGGCAGCCGATCAATGATTCCCCCTCATCATTGATGTTTCTATCTCTCTCCTCTTTTCCTTACTATCTGAAATCAATAAAAAATATATAACAAAACAAAACAAAAAAGTGTCCAAACCCAGTCATCCCCAGGAGGTTGGGCCCCTTCCCACGGATTCCACATAATCCTCTCTTAGGCATATCTATCATACACACACTTGCTCATTATCCCTTCCTTGGCGATTTCCCATCAATCTATGGGAGGTGGGACCATTCCACATGAGACAGAATCAAGACTGAAAGGGGAGATGCCCACGTCTGACCCCAAGAGCCGTGGTCACTGACCATCCGTGTAACAGAGAAAGGAAAGCACAGAGACACAGAGCCAGCCCTGACCAGGTGCTGGGCCCTCCACACACACGTCCCCCTCCCCCACCCCCTCCAGTGAGACAAGAGTGGAAACTCACCGCACTGCCAGGGGAGTGAGAGAAAGAGGAGAGGGACCAGGATGGCCACTCGCCACGCCATTGGGTCCAGGCAGGGCCGGTGGCCTCCGAGAGCTTCTGTGCTGCCAGCGAGACCCCAACGGCCCTGCCCTCACCCCAGAGCACTTTGAAGCTGAGCCAGAAAGAAGAGTAAAAAGGTTAAAAAAAAAAAAAAAAAAAGTTAGGTGTCATGGCCCCTCCCGGGAGAGTCAAAACGAAAGAGAAAGCCAGGAAGTCAGCTCGGTGGTGGCCGTGGCCTCATGCCGCCACAACCCACTTTGGGGGCAAGTCAGACCCCGGTTCCTGGTCTGGGGCTCTGTTCTGCTGGCCCCGGACCCAAGCTGGACCCCAAGTGCGAGTCCCCAGGGTGGCCGTGGCCAGATCCCTGGGCCTCTCCGGGCAGCCTCTGGGCCTCAGGAGCTGAATGCAGTCCAGTGTCCCGGCCTGTCTCAGGTCGCTCTCCCAACATATTTGCTGTACACGGAGCCCCCCAAAATGCTCACCTCCCCATTTCCCAAACTCCAGCCTCAGGGCACCCAGGCTCTATGCTCTCTGAGTCTCCTTGCTTCTTCTAGATTCAAATTAGTCTTTCGTCTGTGTCTGCTTCTTGGCCTCTGGGGGGTCTCAGGGTTTCACCCTTTCTCCCCACTGTCATCAAAGACCCGAATGTCCATGGGGAAGATTCATGCTACTACATGGGCAAACCTCAAAAACACGGCACTGAGTGACCGAGCCAGACACAAAAGCCACGGGTACGGTTCCGTTGGTGTGAAATGGCCAGAACAGGCAAATGCACAGACAGAAGGCAGAGGAGTGCGTGCCATGGGCTGGGGGAGGGAGCACCCCCAATGCTCACAGGCGGGGTGGGGTGCTCTTCGGGTGACGAAATGTTCTGGAACTAGGCAGAGGTGCTTGTTGCACAACATAGTGGATGTGCTAAATGCCACTGAAATGCACATGTTAAATGGTTTGATTCGTGTTGTGTGATCTTTAGCTAAAAAAAATAAATAAATAAAATGTTCCGGAAGCCCAGTGGGACTGAGGAGCAGGGGGAGGGTCTCTGCTAGGGGAGAGTGCCCGGGGGAAACTGAGGCCCCTTTTCTGAGGATCTCAGTCCCGAGGGCCAGCGGGGCCAGCCAGGGTCAGGCGCCCAGCAGGCCATGAGCTCAGAGCCGTGGGAACAAAGAGGCAGTGTTCCAGGCCTGGCACAGTGGGGACGAGGACCCTGTGACCCCATACAGTGTCCTCGCCGTGCAGTGGGCCCGGCGGGCGGAGTGGATTCCAGGCACTGATGTGTGAGGCCGGGGGGAAGGGCAGATACAGAGATGGAGACAGGGATGGAGAGAAACATAAAAAAGGTGGACGAGATGGTTGGAGAACCATCAGGCAAACACATGGAACCCCCTCCTGACAATCCCAAGACACCCCCCACCCCACAAGGAGATGCCATCATGTGCCCCATTTCACAGATGGGGAAACTGAGCCCAGAGGTGCCCCAACCACTCGAAGCCTGAGCTGGGTGTGAAGAAATGAAAGACAGAGCCCAACAGTGTAGCTGAACTTTGCCCCTTCAAGAGTAAAGCGCATGCCCAGGACTATCTCCTTCCCCACCAAGGTTGACCCTTCTAGGACTCAGCTTTCCCATCTGCACAATGGGTTGCAAGAAAGACAAAGAAGATGCTGTCTGAGAGAGAATCAGTATGGTTGCTTTGGGACCTTCCCTCCACACTGGCTTTGCTTTTGTCATATCTCTTTCCCATCCCCCAGCCCCAGAGCAGCTCCTGGGAGAACACTGAGAGAGAAAGGGAGGTAGAGTGGGGAGAGAGTGGGACAAAGGGGGTGAAAGGAAGGGGTGAGGTGGGCCCGGGCCTGGAGTCACGGATTGATGGGCTGGGCTTTCCCCCCAGGCACTGACTGGGGAGCCTGGTGGGTTTGTGGGCAGACCCCTAGCAGCCAATGAGGTGACGTTCCTACCCTTATTGAGGTCACAGTGTAAGGTTTCCCCGGGGGTTCCCCACAGCCCACCTTCCAAGTCTGTGCACACACACCCCACCTCCCGTGGCCCGCCCGCTGCCTACGCCAGGAAGCCCCTCAGAACTTGTGTGGTTCCGCCCAGGTGCCCCACAAGCACTGCTGGGGTACACCCTCGGGGCTGCCCCACTTTCAGATGCCCCACAAACCAGGGGGAGGGGAAGTCAGGAAGGACCGGGTTGCAGGCACCTCCTCCCCTCCGGAAATCAGAGGAACCACAGAACTTCCCTTCCCCCGCGGCTTCCGTCTTCTTCCCCGACAGAGTAACCTTCACGCTGAGGAGGGCCGAGCTTACGTACCTCCATGTGATTAAGACACCCTCATGCCCCCGAGGGACATCTAAGGAGGATGCTGAAGGACGAGAAAGGATTTGCAAGGAGAAAAACCTATCCATTTATTTAACAAACGCATTAGTAGGCATCATTCACCAGTAAGAACATTTTTCATTCACTCAACCAGGATTTCCTGACGCCTGCAAAGGATCGTTTGAGGACGTTTTAAAGAACGCATAGAAGGCTACCAAGAAAAAAATTCATTCAACAGTCACCGTCCCTGATGCCCCTATGGAGACATCTGAATAGGATTTTGATGGATGTGTAAAAGTTTACAAAAAATATATTCTCTTAATAAGTGTTCCCTGATGTTTCTTAAAGATAATTTGAAGTGGATGTTTTAAACGTGTTTTATTGTGTTTTGTTTTGTTTCAGAGAGAGAGGAAGGGTGAGGGGGAGAGAGAGAGAAACATGGATGAGATAGAAACATTGATTGGCTGCCTCCTGCACACAGCTTACTGGGAATTGAGCCTGAAATCTGGGCATGTGCCCTGACTGGGAATAGAACCAGCAACCTCTCAGTACATGAGACAAAGAGCTGGAATGGGTTTTGAAGGATGCATAGGTGTCCACCATGGAAAAATTGCATTCAGTCAGTTGGTCAATAAGTGCTGCCTGCTGGACATTTGAAGGGGCCACTTTGGAAGGAGTTCTGTGAGGGAGTTACCCAGATAAAGTAGGGGAATTTGAGACCTCTCTGGTGGCTCCTCATCCAGCAGCTCACCATTTATCCAGCCCAACCACCTCCAGGACAAGAAACATCTCTTTTCCCCAGATTCCAGACTAAGTCCCAAGGAAGACTCTGATTGGCTGAGCTTAAGTCACATGTCCACTTAAATTAATCACAGTGGATGAAGAGAATAAAGACTCTAGGTCACATGTCCACCCCAGCCTGGACTACAGGAGAGTTTTTTATTTTATTTTAAAAAATATATGTTTTTATTGATTTCAGAGAGGAAGGGAGAGGGAGAGATAGAAACATCAATGTTGAGAGAGAATCATTGATTGGCTGCCTCCTGCACACCCAGTGGGATCAAGCTTGCAACCGGGTATGTGTCCTTGACTGGAATCGAACCCGGGACCCTTCAGTCCACAGGCTGATGCTCTATCCACTGAACCAAACCGGCTAGGGCTTATTTTATTTTAAAAAATATTTTTAGCCAAAACCGTTTTTGGCTCAGTGGATAGAGCGTCAGCCTGTGGACTGAAAGGTCCCAGGTTCGATTCCGGTCAAGGGCACGTACCTTGATTGTGGGCACATCCCCAGTAGGGGACGTGCAGGAGGCAGCTGATCATTGTTTCTAACTCTCTCTCTCCCTTTCTCGCTGTAAAAAATCAATAAAATATATTTTAAAAATATTTTTATTGCCATGACTGATTTGGCTCAGTGGATAGACCATCAGCCTGTAGACTGAATTCCAGTGAAGGGCATGTACCTTGGTTGCAGGCATATCTCCAATAGGGGATGTGCAGGAGGCAGCTGATCGATGTTTCTCTCTCATTGATGTTTCTAACGCTTTATCCCACTCCCTTATTCTCTGTTAAAAAAAAATCAATTAAAAATATATTTTTATTGATTTCAGAGAGAGAAAGGGAAAGGGAGAGATAGAAAGAAACATCAACGATGAGGGAGAATCATTGATTGGCTGCCTCTTGCACACCCCCTGCTGATGGTCTATCCCGAAACCTGGGCATGTGCCCTGCCTGACCAGGAATCTCCTGGTTCAAGGACGACGTTCAACCACTGAGCCACACCGCCGGGCTGCGAGAGAATTTTAAAGCAGAACTAGCCAGAAACGGAACAATTGGCCATTACAGGACATGAGCTTCCCGTCACCTGGGATCTGCAAGTCACAACCTGAAGTCCAGTTAGCATAGGGCTGCCAGATAAAACACAGCATGCCCAGTTAAATTAGAATTTCAGATAAATAGCACACAACTTCTCAGCCTACCAGTGCCCCCCGTATTACATGGGACATATACTGAAAACATTATTCATTGTTTATCTAAAATTAAATTTAGCCAAAACCGGTTTGGCTCAGTGGTAAAGCATCGGTCTGCAGACTGAAAGGTCCCAGGTTCGATTCCGGTCAAGGGCATGTACGTTGGTTGAGGGCACATCCCCAGTTGGGGGTGTGCAGGAGGCAGCTGGTCGGTGTTTCTCTCTCATCAACGTTTCTAGCTCTCTATCTCTCTCCCTTCCTCTCTGTAAAAAATCAATAAAATATATTTTAAAAATATATAAAATTAAATTAAATTTAACTGCTGGGCTGACTTAGTTTGCTGGGGCTAACATAAAGTTTCACAGATTGAGTGGCTGCAACAACAGAAACCTCTTCCTGGAGGCTGGAAGTTCAAGATCAAGGCATCAGGAGGTTTGGTTTCTTCCAGAGTCTCTCTCCTGGGTTTGTGGATGGCTGACTTCTCTCTGTGCCTTCATAGTCATCGCTCTGGGTATGTCCGTATCCTAATCGCCTCTTCTTACATAGACACCAGTCATATTGGATTAGGATACAGCCACATGACCTCATGTTACTTTAACGAATTCTTTTTTTTTTTAATTGATTTTTTACAGGGAGGAAGGGAGAGGGATAAAGAGTTGGAAACATTGATGACAGGAAATCATTGATCAGTTGCCTCTTGCATACCCCTTACTGGGTATGTGCCCACAACCAAGGTACATGCCCTTGACCGGAATCGAACCCGGGACCTTTCAGTCTGTAGGCTGACGCTCTATCCGCTGAGCCGAATC